GCCGCTCTCCATCCCGCAAGCGTCGTCTTGTCTGGCGAGCTTGTGGGGACCCTGCAGGAGAAAAGAATTACGTGGAGTGTAATTTCAGCATCAGATTGCAATCGTAAAGCAGAGTTTATTTTTTTGCGTCCGAGTTTAGGCAGCATCGCTGAGCAGTGATGTATTTTAACGCCCTTAACCTCCCCCCTCCCCTTTCTAGAGGCACAACTTTAGAAGCACATATTGATCTTTCCCCTCAGATCTTAACAGCCCGAGCCACCGTAATACCTTGCTTACATCTGCCAGGTTTTTGTGCAGTTTTGCAACATCTCCTTAATCCGGCGAGCAGAAATAGAACGTTTCAATCATATTTTGCTACCGGGAAACCGAGCAGATAAAGCGCTTTAAGACCTTGTTGAAAGGGACCGTGCAAGATGGTGAGCGATAAGATCGTCCTATAAGCAGGCGCCGAATGGAAAACTTTTGTTGCCGCTGAAATTTGTTGATAGAGATATTGCAAGTACATTACCCGGCGAGCACCCCGGCGCGTTAAAACAATGAGGAGGCGATGCGACGTCGCGGTGCCCGCGTGGGACGGAGACGCGGCTTTCCAGCGGGCTCCTTGCTCCCCTCTTTTCCCCTCTTAGACCTTAAAGGTCGTACCCGCGTGCCCGCGTCTCGCTGCACGCTTGGCATCCGCTGCTGTTGTCCGTCTGTCCGCTGGAATGAATTCCTGCCCCCGGGAAGGTGGTGAGGGGTTGACCTGGCTTTTGGGGGTCCGTGCTGGGAGCCAGGTCGGTTTGGCCGGTACTTCTGTCAGTTTGGGTGATGCAGAGAAAGGATACTTGTCCTTTTGTTTCTCCTCTGATTCTTGAGACTCGCTTTAAAAAAAAAAAAAAAAACAACAACCAAATCTCCAAGTTTCACTCGAACTAATTATCCAGTTACACTTTAATTCACCGAAAAGGCGTTCTAGCCTCAAAGAGGCGAGCGCTGCGACGTTGGCACGGGGGGATGCTGTGCTCCTCCGAACCGAGTGGTTTAAACCCGGCGTTAAGTGCAGCAGCGAGCTCAGCCCGAGCCGGGGAAGTGTGACAGGCGTGTCCCTAATTAAAAATGCAAAATGAGAAGGTTGTCACTTATTTAGCTGACTTCTTGGCAGCGGAAGTCTGTCAGGAGGCTGGTGCTTTATTTATTTTTGCAAGGCGGATAAATCCTGGATTGTAAACCTTCTTGGCCTGAATTCGTGCATGACTCTTAATCCTCCGCTATGACACAGTGAATTCAGGACAAGCCTGATTAATAATTACATTATGCAGCAAAGTTGAGAGTCGAAACCAACTCCTGCTCGTTCCCGTCCTGCTCGGTGGCAGGTTGTCACAGGGTCGGTGCAGAACGTCATGGGGTCTGCTCCTGAAGGCCGGCACCGCCGGTGTTGCCGTTCGGCATCCGTGTGGGGCGGGGATGGATGCGGGGTGGGATGGATGCGGGGTGGGATGCTTTGCACAAGGGCGTCCTTGCGAGGGAACCGGATCCTGTGTGCCACGGGGCAGGTCTGGGGCTCCTCTCTGCAGCTGCGAGGGACGCTCCTGCGAGGGCTCGGTGCAGCAACAGCGTCGCGCCAGCAACACTTCCACCGGCTGGAGGGGGACAAAGCTCACGCCGAGGGAAATGTCCCCCACCCCGGGCTGTGCGCAGCAGGCGAGCGGTCCTCGCCCAGCCGGGGCCGAGCTCTCCCGCAGGAGAGGCAGAGGGAGGAGGGTTCGGCGTCCAGCCCCGGACAAGAGCGTTTCTGTTTTGTCTTTGGCAACAAGGCAATAAAAATACGCTCGTCTTGTTGCAGCGCGATGATAAATGGTGGATGCGAGCAGAGGTCGGCACGCAGTGATCTGCTGTGTTGCTCCTCAAACACATACAAATACTTCTCTGTTTACAGCATCCGATTTTGAAACTTTGCACGTGCTCCCGCCGCGAGCCCCCAGCCCAGCATCCACCGTGGCAAAGGGGGAGGGAGATGCTGCTCCGTGGTACCCTGGGCGTGCTCGGCCCCTTGGTGGGATGCGGGGCAGGGGACGCCGCGCGGCCCCCGCAGCCGGGAGGAGGTTGTGCGGTGCCGCCCGGGCCTCGCTCCGCTGGTGCCCCGCGGTGCCAGGAAACGGTGAGCGGTGTGTTTCCTGTTTGCGAGCGGGTGGCGGGGTTCTTCGCTTGTGATTTGTGTCACGCTGAGTTTGTATGGAAGTTGGGATTCAGTTACAAACGCACACAAACAACCTCTTAATTTTTTTAATTTTTTTGGGGGGGGTACAGTACCTTTTTCAAAAGCACTTGGTGCACAGGGAAGAAGTTTGCCAGCACATAATTTGCAATACCTCTAAGGTTCAGATTCATTTGGTTTGTTAAAAGAATCCAACAGTAGTGATGATAAACATTAAACTGGAGAAGGTAATCTCATCCGTCCTGGGGAGTCGCGCAGGACCTCCCGTCCCTGCCCCTCCTGTAGGGCTTCTCGAACCAGAACTGCTTCCGGGCGATGAGTAGTTTGGGTGAAACGTTGGGAAGTTTGCAGGCGTTATTTCGGGTAACCTTTCCCCCACGCGCAGGAGGACTAACCCCTCTGTGTTCTCCCCTAGGAAGCTGCACAGCGGGATGAAGACTTACGGATGCGAGCTGTGCGGGAAGCGGTTCCTGGACAGCTTGCGGCTGCGAATGCACTTACTGGCTCACTCAGGTGGGTTGGAAGGGGAGGAGCGGGGTGGGACGGGGGGAGGATGCTCTCCGTGCCCACCCAGAGATGCTGCGGCCACGTGGCTCAGGCGTCTCGGGGGGAGCTGCGTGCGGAGCTGGCTGCAGCCTTCCCAGGACAGCACATTGCACGCTTGTTCTCTGGTGCCCAGTAATTTGATTTAGCTAAATTTTCTTTTTTGGAGTTTGTTTTCAATTCCGTCATCGGGGAAATGCTTTCCAAGCTGACAGCTCAGAGTAACAAACGTTGCGTACCACGCAGCTGCTCGTTGTCCAGTCCCGCTCGTAGCGTGAGCGTCGCCTTCGCGTCGGCTCCTGCGCGCGTCCCGGCACCGTGTTCCTCGCGTACAGGCACCCGCCGCAGTTTCATTAGCCAAACGGCTGCGGAATTAGGCGTTCTCCGCCTAATGAATCTAACTAGCAGGTTCACATGATTCAGGCCCTTTAATTAAATAGATAGGGAAGGGCTGGAACGCTGCGCTGGTGGGAAGAGTTGTGCTCTGCAAGTCGGTGTAGGCTGATGCCCCTGTTGGGCGTGCAGCCCCGTCTTCAGCTGGGGGTTTCGTGTAAGAAACGTGCAGATGGCCACCGGACCCCTTTGCCGGAATGTGGCTGGGAGTCCTCGTCCCGCTCCTTTGGGGACAAATCGCTTGGGGTACAGGTACCGCAGCCAAAGCTGTGCTTGCGGGTAGCTTTGCAAGGAAGCTGTTACGTCTTTTTTTTTTTTTATATCTTTTTATCTATTTTTTTCCCTCTCTGACCCTCGTCCGTGCCAAGCGGGGACAGAGCAGGGATGTACCTTGCCTGGACCTGAGTGACCAGCGTGGCGCTGCCTTCCCCACGCTCATTCTGGCCAGACAGTGGGTTCTGCTTTTCGGGGTGCTGGAGCTTGCCCCGACCCTCACCCCGTCCCTCCCTCACCACTTTTCAGGACAGGCAGCGGCTCCCCAGGGTGCCCGCAGACAGCGGCGGGTCGCTGGGGATGGTCGTTGGGATGCTGGTGTGTCCCCCAGCATGGGAGTGCAAGACGCTGGTCCCCAGGGTGCTGGTCCCAACCCCCGACCCTGGGGGGCAGGATGGC